AAACGTTTGGAATTCGAATGAAAAATTAAAGTTCACCGTCGACGATCAGACTCGGATTCGTGGAAGATGTTATATAATTAATGATGCGACCCGACGCATCTTGGAAAGTCAACGTTTTAAATATGTGGTTCGCTAACGCTGAAAGCCGAACCAAAGATCGGAGCGTCGCGTCGATAGAAATTAGCATAACGAGCATTCGTTGGAACGATTTTCTGCGATACATCTATTTACTGGCCGTTTAAACAGCGCACAGTTTCGATGATTCAAGCGGCGAGCAATCTCGCGAGGAGTTGTTTATTGCCGAGGATCGCGCGGACGCCCGCAGATGTAATTAGTTGCAACGGTAATGAACATCGTGTACATCGTTAACCGGCTGCCGCTCGCCAAGTTCATGTTAATTAAGAGGTATCGCGGATTCCGTGGGTATTAATTGAATCTCAAGTTTAAAATCTGCAAACAACTTTCCAATAATCTTGAGAAATGATCGCTCGAAAATTGAAGAACTCTCGCGGGCGTCGGAGCATCGTTCTAATTTCGAAATTTCAAGGTTATTTTTCATATTCCATTGCCGAATGTTGACACAACGTTCCACATCTAATTCGGATGTTTGCAAACATCGTCGCCTTTCGTTTCGCGGTACCGCATTTTAAATCGTACCTCGATTATCTGTTGGTTCTCATCGTTTCTCGCTTCTCCTTTCGGAGATTCATTGGATACAATTATTATAGAAACCCAGATTTGCAAACCTATTAAACCCGTGGAGGACGAACGTTGCTCCATTAGTTGGAAGAACATTGTTCGATCGTGTTGATAACGATAACAAAAGGTCGAAACATATCGTTCGCGTTTACCATTATTCGAGTCTTCGTCCCGAGGAAATATACTCTTAGCATCTTGAAAAATCCTCGTCCGCGAAAGATTAATATTTGTGGAGCAGGTTATCGCACGAATCAACGAAAGCTAAAATCTATTCAATTTCTCCGAAACATCGGCAGTTTATGAAAGAAGGTATAGCAGACGGTGTGAGTCAACAATGCCGCACTGCACCATGCATATGCATGCAGTGTGCACACAGAGGGTTAGACGATCGTGAACGCTATAAATCAATAAGCTGCGAAGTCTGCTAACGGCAAATAATAGCAGTCGTTAAATACGGGACCGTACACGACCTCATAGCAGAAATCGTAAGCGTTCCACGAACACGACGCGACACGACGTTACAAACGATCGATCTAAAGAATCGTCGAAACGTCGAGACCGAGAAGTAACAGAGTCGAGGAGAGACGACCGCTATAACGCAACCTCAAAGGCAAGGAAAACGATTTAAGGATTCGATCGATCGACGAAGCGAGAACGTTTCGCGTAGGTTGACGAAACGCGCGATTAACGAAGCGCTAAGATCTGGCTAGACAGAGAACGCGGTGTCTTCGCCAAGGGGACCGTGTTAATCGTGGAATCGCGCACCTTTCCCGACTACCGATTTTATCGCGGCGTTGTAACATTCGATTTACAGCCCAATAAATATCTATACGTCGAGATAATTGTGCACGAGGAAAATATTTCGTCCGTTTTGGAGCATCGGAAAAACTCCATGGAGCCGTTAACAACCTACGAGCGCGTGCCACGACGTAACGCCATCGGCCGAACGGTCCGCGAGTCTAATGGCAATTGCTCGCTGAGGGCATTTTAATCAAACGATTCGCCGAGAGCAGCTACGACTTCTGCAAAACACCTTGGTCTTCGTGCCGGTCTCTCGTGGCATGTTTAAAGAATCCTTCCGCGTTGCGGCCGAGCCAACGTAACTAAACCAACACCGACATCGAGATTCAATTACCACCTCGTTCCATTCTCGAGCATGTCTAATTTGCGACGGCTGCTGCGGTCGAAATGATTATTCTTTCGGTACCGACGCTAACGAACGTGTAACTGGACAACGAGTTTAATCCCTGGTGGAAAATAATGATCAGAGGATATCGCAGAATTCGTTCGATTTAAACGCGAACGTTCCGCGAGTATTATGTGTCTCTGATACGGTATTATATTCACCGATAACTTCATCGAGCTACTGCAAACAATCGTGGCTGAAAGTTATGCAAATTTAACGAGCATACTCGAGGCATTTACTCGAGCTGCATCGATTGCATAAATTACGGCTGCTTCGGAGTCGCGTTTCATTTGGATCGAAATTTCGTATACCGAATTCTTTGGGGAACATTTTTGTGTCCCATCGTTTCATTTTTCTTTTTTCGACCACTGCAGCCTGAAGAAGGAAACGTGCACATAAATTCAACACTGTCATGCCAATTACTACCGCAGTAATTATGAAACAACATAATGCTAAAGCGTATTTGAAGAATCTCCGAATGGTATTTTACACCTATGATGTAATATGCGAGCGTTGGTCAGGGACAAATTCGAGAATTCTAAAACGAATTATGCTTATACTTTCGATGCACGATCACGGTGCGAAATTACGGTGCGAAAATGTTTTTGCGAAATTCATAAAATTCGCCGTTAAACCGAACAATAATTTCATTCTCCAGCAGCTAAACTTTCGTAGAGGGCGGTAATCTAAAAGACACGAGGAAGTTCCAACGAAAACTAGACATAGCAACAGCAACAGTTCGAGCATAATTCTTGACGCTCGATAAACTACGGTGCACCGACTGCGAGAAATTCGCGATGAGCAATCTCTGCTACAAAACAGTAGCAACGACCCGTTACCGATTACTATGATGCGTAAAACATGTTTCTATCTGCATAATCTAAGAGTTCGTTCGACGAATAGTTACAACGGGTTTGTAACTTTTTGGTTCCATTCGAGCGCCCTCTAGTTATATCGCTACTATATCGATAGAAATCGTTGAATTATGAAAACGAGAACGAATAGCATACGAGACGATCGCGCGAATTCAAACATGGCGAATGTACCCATGCGATAAACGTGACCCCATAGAAAAACTTTCGTTCCCCATCGCATACCGAGGATTACACAGTTTCCCGCGCTTTTCGCAATTCCCACCGTTTCGTTTGAAATGCACGTAACACACTCGCGCGTCGTTCGAGAACAACCGAAATATTCGCAGGTATACTCGGGTATCTCGAGAATCTCGCAAAAACTTCCGGTGAGCTCGTGGAAGCTTTAGCGCACCGACCGCGACTGACAGCCATAAAGATCTCATGGAGAATTTCTATTGCTTGTTGGTACTAAAAGCGCGTACGGAGTGGGAGATCGTTCCCGCCATTGGTCTCTGCCGTCTCTGGCCACTGTGCGGCTCTACTTATCCCCCACCCTTTTCTTTCTCAATCTTTTTTGCGCAAGTCCTCGGAAAAACTATACGACGATTTTACTCGCTTTTCCAGGCGCATCGATTCTACGATTACATGCTTATAGTCGGTAGAGTATCGTTGCGCAAACACGCGGTTTCACGGGCGGATCGACTTGCATAGGAACGAGCAACAATGCATCGACGTCGATACTTTCATCTATCTTGCAACGAAGATGACGCTATCCGCGTTAGAATATCTTACTGGCACAATTAAAGAGAACGTCGCTATAAGTCACTCAATCTTTAAGTGCTTACGATCGCATTCGCTCGTTTTATTTGTGTGCTAGAAGTTTTAAAGATTTTTTCCTCACAACAATGTTTGCAACAATATTTACACGAAAATATTATATACGATTACTCCCTTCCCACTCGAGGGAAAAGCTCCCTTATTTATTTGTTTGTAGATTTTTTCGTAAATCCATTCGCTACTTATTGGTATGTACAATCGGTAGGTAACTTGAAACATACGATTGTCTGTATTCCGAACTAGGTCAATTTGGTAGCGGCTGTTAAAGAACAAAGCTCCTTCTTTAAAAACTCACCTATATGTGCCTTTGTTCTGAGGACTATCATAGTCGATACGTCGCTTTTTGTGTTCGTATTGAAGAGAACCTGCAGAATGTGAACGTGGTCTTGAGTGGCTGCGGGTACGGTGACGCCTCCTGCTTCGCGGCATCTGAAACATATATCGCAACGGCGTGTTAGCATGAGAATTAAAATAATTCGACGCAAAACCAATATTCACTCGTCTGCCGCTGGAACATTATACATGCAACCTGATGGTGCAAAGTAGTTGCAACCCGCTAATACCTTTTAAAGACATAGTTTGTGGTTTAGTAGCGAACTAAGCCCGCTTAAACGTACTAAGAAGGCGATGTGCTCTAAACCTTATAGCGACTAATAACGATTTCTCTATTATTACGTCGTTACATACATAGAACGGCGCATTCGAGAACCGTTATTTCTTGTACGCTATTGAAATGTTCTAGGATAGTATAAATGAAATAATATGTAGAAAATAATGACAACTGTTACGAACATATTTAACTTCAAGCATGTTAAACGATTAGGAAGAAAACATGTAAGACGTTAAACACATATAGATAACGAGATCTCGGTCTCCACCATTTTATTAGCACTTTGGAAATGCGTGAAACATTTGTAAGGTGCTTTTATAAAATGGTTCTATAATATCTTATTACAATTAGTGTTAGCGAACAGAGGTAACGATAGTAGTGGACAGATGAGAACTACAAACGAGTACGATCAAAGTTACGAACAACGTTACTATAAAAGATGAATCGACGCGACGCATCCGTATCGATGGCGCACGATTTCAAGAGATATTTGGATCAGAGCCTTTCTATTGACACCAGATTGCATGTACTTACATTAGGAAGTCGAAACAGGCTCACTTGATCCCAAATGAAATCGAAGATGGATGATATCCAGGAACGTGAAGATGATGCTTGTGGTATGACACTGTTTTTGGACAACGACGTGGACATCAGCTCAAAAAATTCTGTAAAACGTGGGCAGTTGCATCGTAAAAGCATACCAAGCACTACGCAAGAGAACAGCCCACTCCATTTGGGTAAATAAAAATGCTTTTACCATTTGCCAGAATATGTCCAAAGTGTAAACGTAACCTCGTGAGACCCAAAGGATCTACTAATAGAGCGAAAATGAAAACAGAAATCCCGCCAAACGTTGATCGTAGATCTCACAGAAATAATAGACTCAAGTAGTCGGCTGAGACGACAGTGTTATGTGTGTGAAACGATAGGCGCAGTAAATGATAAGGAAGTGAAATGAAAATGAGGCAATCGGTACGCGTGGGTATGCTCGCTGGCAAAATCAATGCCAGCGAGAGGCGAGATGCGAGATGCGAGATGCGAGAGGCGAGAGGATCGCATCTGAACACGAGGGTACGTATCTGATCCAAAACGTTAACAGTTTCGTAGAATAGGTCGTGCATTATGGTGCCAAAAGTACGAGTATACATTCAACGATTGCAGAGAAGTGAGGCGAACGGTAAAATGTACAAGTAGGTGGACGAGTCGCAAAGCGTACTCCATAAGGGAACTTTCATGAAACGACGGCCATCTTGGAGATAGAGAAGCATCAAGTACCAGTGAATGCAACACATGCAGAATTTCTGCCGGACATTCGTTGATTAATCAGGTTTAACTTATCGCAACAATACTACGAGAGGGTAACTTACGTCGAAGAGATAAATCAGACTCGGTTGGTCCCGAAATGTACTTGCAAACACAAAATATCCAAAGAGCGCAACGATGTACTACGATGTACAACACTGTTGTGTGACAACGACGTGGACATCGGATCGATGCGATTGGCGAATGATGCTCGACTATGTTCGGGCGACATCGTGAGTCGCGAGGCCGACCGTTCACGACCGACGCCGAGTATGCACGAGTTTAACCGATCTACCTACCAGACGCATTTCCGGCAGATACAAAAAGACTTTAACATATGTGACTCGTGCCGGCTTCCATGTTACACTCAAATTTCAACGATACGTTAAGGTTTCTCAACGCGATAACTAATATCTCTATTTTGAAAATAATTGTGATTCGTTTACAGAACAAACCGAGTTATATTAGACACGTACACGGTGGAAAGCTGCGAACATTATTTCAGATATACATATACAAGTTGCCACGATGATCTAATTTAAAATTTATGATATTACGAAGGAATTTCATAATCGAATTATAGATTCTACTATTTACTTGGGGAATTTAACTGTACGGAGCATAATATTTACACGGAGTAGGTAACAATACGAACAGCAATTTTATTTTTAATACATATATTAAAGATTATTGTTTTTAAGCTCGAAAATCAATGAAATCATAAAGAAATGAAATTTCGCTCACTAGGTCGTACCCTATTGGCGGTGTAGCATGTTACAGAACCCGATAACCTCGTTCGTTGGTCGCACGAAGGAAAATTACCAATATCCCCACACGAAACGAAGAAAAATAATAATTGAGTCGAAAAACGATCACACGTGGAGCACCATTCTACGACCGAAACAGGATTTTTGTCCGCGACACGATTCACAAGAACGACGTACGTGTCCGAACTGAAGCGACCACGGTATCATACATAATTTATCACAGAAACTCTACGTACCTGTCCCCAAATCAAATTACTTATTAACCGCACGACACCGCACTTGATCAGAGTCACCAAATTCCAAAGCATATTCTCGCCGAGGCCCAAGAACGATATTAATTACGGCGTTCACGAGGCTTCAAGATAAACATGTAAACTCCGAGCGAGGCCAGTTGATGACCTCTGTATATTATCCTAGGTGGCACCACGACACAAGTCCATCCAGAGAGGGTAACTACACCGTTATCGGCAAAAGTCTTTACGAGCAGGCGAGACACGCGTGATAAAAACAGTAGCCGCGAAAATTAAAAGAAACCATGCAAACGTCCGCTTACCTGTGTAGTCGAGGTGAACGTCATCGGCTTACAATCGGTCTGCATAGGGCCGAGACATTTCATAGTCGCGGACGGGATCGGATCAGCTGCGAACGTCCATAATTCTCTGCAAGACTGCTGAAAAAAGATTCGATCACTCGGTTACGTCCGAACACGCGCGAATCTGGGCAAGGAAACCCGGTCTTGTCAGAATTCCGAGAAAAAAAGCTAACGCCACCCCCGCGTTACATTTCGCCAAGCATCGCAGGTGCACCGCCGAGGCTTTCGGAGCTGGGCAAGTGGTACCCGGTCGAGGTCACGTCGATAATTCGGTATAACCGTTGTTTCCCCATGCAGAAGGCCACGTGACGCGACTGGACCTGCGCCAATGGCGTTACGGGGCTGAGAAACTCGGTGATCGAAGGATTAACAGGATCAATGCGACGGGCAGTGAATAAATTCGATCCCGACGTACCTGCGACCCACGGATCAGATTATTGCGCTGGCCTTTCAACACGTTTGTCAAGACGGACGTGGTTCGAGCGGCATAACGACAGATCAGACACTGTACGATACCTGCGCCCATCTTATCCGGATAGGATATGAGCAGCTTACCGAGAACATTTGATATAACGGCCGCGTCCCGTCGTATCGTGCAGCGCTTGCGCCGTTTCGCGACAAACTAACCCCGTGTTCGAGACCGCGTGATTGTCGTTACTATTTGATCTCAATTAACGAACAAAGGGCATTGTTTGTCGAAGACAGAGCGTGCCCGAGGACCGCGTCAGCCGACAAGGGTCTCGCGATAAAGAAAATCAACTATTTCACGTATGTAAGGCAACGGGGCGTGATTCACGGATTAATTATGTAAGCTTACAAGTTGGAAACCGTCCATTGATTACAGTCGATCGCGTCTGTCCTTATTTTCAGTGAGCGGCAGCCGCAGGAGGCACGCGCATCGCGTAAAGTTCGCGATCTGCGATTCTTGATCGGGTCTCGCTCGCTTCCTGTTCTCCTTAAACGATAGCGCCTGACGTACGACGAGAATGGACAATCGCCGCAAGAACAATCTGCAGTCGCTGAATAACGCGCGGACAATTTCAATTTACGCGGTATTCAGACCACGGTTAATATTGGCCCCAAACCAAGGTCCGAGTCTTGCCTGAATCTCGGTGTATAACAGGGCAAGCTAAAAATATTGTTCGCCATTCAGGTATCGCAAATTCGAAAGTGAAATCGATCGAGCAGCGTGTTAGTGGCGAACGAATCGCGAAGATGTAAAATTGTCGCGGCAGAAGTTTTCCGAAATAGTAAATAAGACCTTTGAAATGTTTAAATTGTAATGTTGTCCGGTCGGTGTTGAGTCTGCGATAATGTTATGCGCGAATTTTTCGAGAATAAAGCAGTGCTCGTATCGAGATTGTCGGAAAATCGAAGGTTAGGGAATCCATCAATAAATTAGTGCGAAATCTATTCTGTCCTTTTAATTAACCGTTCCTATAAATATCAAGGCTCATGCATTTCCTAAATAAACTGGCTCAGGCTATAAAAGGCACTCGCCGGAAGACTGCGAGCGCTAAAGAGGAACTCGACGACGATACACTGGAAAATTTGAGGAGACTCGAGGTACAAGTATACAATTTTTAAGGGCTATGTTTGTAATCAAGGTGCCGTTGTTTTGTAAACGGTGGACAATTTTAAAGAATCGTTCCGAATTCCAAAGTATCGGTTCTGACACGTTCTATATCGTGCACCGTTGAATCTACATATTAAATATGCAATGGCAAAATGGCCCCTTTCCGAGATCCTAAGGATCCTGGGGTTAAAAGTACCTCGCCAGTTATTTTATAGAATATATTGTTCACGCTTCTGTTGCGATATATGTATTCGGTGCCTCCAAATCTGTCGACATTTTCTTAATTGCAGCTACTTAAAAGTAACCCAGTATAATATTTGCAAAGTGAGAGAATCGATATACTGGTACTCTCTAAAGTGAAAAGATCTCCTTTAAGATCGAACCGCTGTTACCAAAGATAAGAATGCTATCAAGATGACCCACAGTGCCTGCCAACATTTGGCAGCCCGCGAACGCGTGCGCTTCAACTTTATCTTCCCATTTCGAATTTGCGTAGAGCCAACGATGATCCTAATCTACAAAGGCCCCGAATCCTCTCTTTCAAGATCGAATCGTCTCTTTCGGAATTTGCAAACTGCCAACTCTGCAACTTCTTGCAGCCGATACACCAAAGACCTCAGCATCGTTTCCCTCCCTTGGAGGGAAAGGCCACAAATCGCCTGGGCCTAAACTAAAAACTCGTTCGGGATTGCATTAGTAGCAAGGATAAGAGCGTTATCAAGATGACCCGGTTTCGCAGAGGCGTCGCGCCGATCTCGAGGCCCGCGAACCACCAACAGGGTTTATTTTGTCACGGAGACGGGGAAGTTTGAGAAGCGCGAGGTGCCGCAAATTGTCGCGAGCGCGGCCGCTAAATGCGTGCGCGTCACGATTTACGATAGCGTTTCCCGCGGGAGGGGGGCTGGATGGAGGACTACTATGTCGCGGGTGTTCCCCGCGTATTCGAGGGGCGCATTCTCTCTGGCAATGAAAAGGATCGATGCGGTTTCCGTGGTAACGGTACCGTCAGAGAGCTCGGAATCACGGATGGTGGTGGACGGAGCCATCCAGTGCGAAACTGATGCAGTAACGACATCGCCGTCGCCGTTGCCGTCGCCGTCGCCGTCGCCGTCGCCATTGTCGACGAAGTGCCGGGATAAAACTGGTTTCGGGACCCGCGTGTGAACCGTGCTTCGAACACCCCTCTCGAACTCGTTCGGACTGCACGACGTCGCTTCGAAACGACGAGCATAATGCGGAGGCGTCAGATTCTCCGCTCCAGGACACCAGTAACATGGACTCGTTCGACAGCCAGGACATCAAGAACGGCAGGATGTCCGAGCAGCCGCCGCCACACGAACAGAAACCGAACGTTTTTCTGCTGCGAGAATGGAGCGACATGCCGAAACACCTGCAGTTCAACCCTCATATCCGCACCGGGTACAGGCCGCTTATGACCGTGCGACAGTGTCTCGGGAGCCTGTTTTATCTCCACAATGAGACCGTCAATATCATGACCCACGGTGAGTCTTTCCCCATTGTCAGCGCCTAGTATAGTCGGATCGGTTGGGTCTAACCGAGACCTAACCCAGACCTATCAAGGTCACCGAGGCGAGGGGGCTTTCCCCACTCTGCCATTTCTCCCCAAGAGGAGACAGGGTGAAACTGCGTGCGAGGTCTGGGGTCGCATCCGATGGGGTCTAGGAACTTGGCCTTGCCTCGGGTCTCTCGAGCCTGATTCGACGCTCGCAAGAGCAACTATGTACTTCGAAAACTGCCGTGTTTTCCTACGATTAGAGAGAACTCCGTCATTCGTGGTCTTATCGTTCTTTCGTATCGTTTTGCCATTGTCCCGTGGCACACTTTTTGTAACGTTGATGTTGTTCGTTCTTTGCGCCGTGTATTTGTAAACGTTCGCTAGATTCGTTCGTTTAAAGGTCGTCGAAGGACCGGGTTAAACGGAAAGTTGCAGTTTTTCATTCGTTTTGCTCGCACGTTATTATCATTTGCGCATGAAATCCATTTGCCTCTGAAGTTTTTTTTATATCATGGAAACTCGTTCGAATGCATCTTGAAATAGGTGTATATTTCTTGGCTGGAACACCGACGCTTCAAGCGCATCTCAACAAAAAGACCGTATTCCTAGAATTTTGCCAATAAATTTTAGCCAACGATCGGGTCAGACGTTCCCCATAAATCGCAAAAGATACGGGGATACTTGCAATCGAAGTACAGTCGCTGGAAACATAGATAGCAACTATCGCCGTACTATCTAAACTGTTTGCAGTCATCCCCGGTAGCATCGAGAGGGACAAACAGGTTGTAGCTCTGATTGAATTAAGAAGAAAAATGGATTACTCTTTTCAAGGGTAATCCATATATGTATATATACGTGTAATCGAGTTTCAAGGTGAACTTATGCGAAAATCATCATACTTCCGTCGACGTATCGCGGAATGATTAAAAATCGATATCGGAAACCGTAGAAAGTCTACCTTCGTGGATTTATTCGTAACACCGATATATGATAACGATAACAGCACCACCGCGCCGCTCGCAGATACCTTGGTAACTTAAAAGATGATGTCGAAATAATTGATCGAAATAAGTTTAGAAATATTCCATCGGTTCGTTAATAACTTAAAAAATGGCAGAGCTTACTTAAACTTACATGTCGGGAAGACGTGTCATACTTTTGCTTAATGAATTATTTATTGGACACGGGGCTGCCGATTTATGCATGTAACGTTCAACTTGACGCGATCAATTCTATGACAATAAAAGAGACGATGGCAACATCGTCGATCGACCTATATACACGAACGATGCGGACCACTATTGGGTCAAAGGTTACATTTGTATGTAAATAACGATGCCTTTGCTCGAATATACCGACTCTACTCGTAAAAACCGTAAAAAACTGTGCCGAAAGATTTCTCCTTGTAAAATTAAGACGAAAACGTTATTAATTTTAATTAATTATTTGAATCGACGTGGACCGTTTTTGTTACAGGATTCGCCATCCTGTACATGCTAGTGACAATACCACAACTTCTTCCATGGAGCACCCAAGGTGCCTTCGCAGAAATTTTATCATGGTGCCACCTGATCGGTGCCGTCAGCCCGTGGATCGGTTCCTTCGTCTATCACCTCTTCATGAACTTAAATTACGACGAGGTCTTCTATAGAAAACTGTTGAAACTAGACATGATCGGCATATGGCTGTGCCAAAGTTTCGGTAACTTTTAACGAATCCGTCTGTCGCGCGACCGTCGAAGGTGATCGATAATCGGAATTATTAATATTCTAGGAGCGATGCCTATGATGGCGGCAACGGTCCATTGTCTCCCAGACAGTTACTGGTATTGCTGTATCTTTATTTATTGCTTCCTTTGTATATGGGGACTCCTTATGGCAAGTTTTATAACTTCTCGTATTCGTTTCATTTATAACCCTTAATTGCTCAGGTAATTTTCTTTTCTGCCTTGCAGGCGATGCACGCGCTTTCTCCGTGGGAGAGAAGATTATGTTTTGCACCTCCTTTCCTCATGAGAATGCTATTAATGGTTTTGCGGTGTTTTGGAATCGGCGGAGGAAATCCGGACGCGTTGACGCATGTTATCCTACAGGTAACGCGAGGAATCGTTCGATTCACAAATTCGTTAATATCTGCATGGAAATGCCAATTTTAGTCAACGTAGTCGATCGTTTGGTTTAACCAATTACCGCTAAAATATTTCTCACAGTCGATATAAAAGTGTTCTCGAGAGGTAAAATGTCATAAAATCATCTTCACTTTCGATCGATATACATGGTTGCTATTTTAGAAGTTTGCTCAAAGTTTCGAAGTCTAACGGCGAGAACAAACTTTCGTGGATATTTTTCAATAAAAATCTATTACTTTTAATCGCTACGTTCTTGGAAGTTTCAACGCGAACGCACAAGGACCTGCAATGCGACAAAGATAAACTCTTTATCGATCTTTATCTATCTCGCGGTGGTGAAAAATGTTGCTCTTGATCGATGCACACGTTTCCTGTTTTAGCTAACGTCGAAGTCACGATGAAATCGATGAAAAAGGATTTCCCGGGGAAGGGATCGCAACCGATTGAAACCGATTATGTTTCAGGACATGATATCAGTCGTGGGAGCGACGATCGGGGCAATGCGTATCCCCGAGAAATGGATTCCCGGCAAGCTGGACCTGGTGTTGAATTCACACAACTTGATGCACGTGCTGGTTGTTTTGGCGGTGTGCTCGATGCACGCCGCAACAATGCAGGATCTTGTCTGGATGTCGGACGCGAACGCGTGCAACGGGACGAGCCTGGTCTCGTCCAAGCACGATGAACTGTGATTGAACCGTGAATATCATTTCACTGCAGACTGTGATAAATTACGAGCCTAACGAGAACCGGCGACCACTCTCGTGCAGGTGTCGTTCCTCGATCGACGACCAAACAGAGGCATGCTTGATAGCGGAGCGAAAGGGATCTTTTTACGTGGACGCGCGCACCTGTACGATGAGACAAACAGAAGACATGTACATAACGCGTACCAAATTTTCATACTGTCAACGAGAACAATTTCCGCTCTCTTTTACGATACGTGGAACAGTCCAAGTACAACCGTTAGTACAAAATTGAACGCGTCATATCGAGGACAATGCGAATCAGTGCCCGATTCGGTTCAGGTGATAATTAACAGAGATACATATATTATATGGAGGATGGAGGATGAAAGCAATGAGAGAGAGAGAGAGAGAGAGAGAGAGAGAGAGAGAAGAGAGACCGAGAGGAATAATTTCGAGCGAATAAGCACATCAAAAATACAGTTTATTATAGACATTCACAGCAATGTACACGATGTGTTCCCGAGCAATCATTCTCTCGATCCAAGTAAATCGCTTCACAATGTCAGTATTATATTTAGACGAATAAAACTGTTCCAAACTATTCGTTCGATTTCATTTAATTCCGTGTCGCAAGATTACTCGCGTATCTAACTTCGTTACTCGCGTAGTGCCGGCAGAAATTTATATCGTATTGGAACGAGGTCGACCGCGGATAGATCTTCTATGATTACGAAACAAGAAGTACACGTTTAATTGATATACGGTACTCGTACTTTTATTTCTTATTCGACCAAACGTACGCGTTTCTAAGTAGAACCCTATATGAAATTAATGGAAAAGAAAAAGCAGAGCTGCGAGAACCGAAGTCTCGTTACACCACCTCGATAGAAACGAGATAGCATCGCGTCAGTGTACGTTTTATATTCTTGCGGTTCCGATTAAGTAAAGCTGCATGCTCCTCGGTAGTTAGTTTATAGTTTGATCGATATTAAGTATTATTAGTACACCTGCAGCGTGAAAACCATTAACCGTCGCTCTGAATTCTACGAGAGATCCGACGAATAAAGTATGCGAACAACTTCTGAAAATACGAGCACCACCCGTCTTCGAAGAACGTAAGGCACGCAACAAGTGCACCGCGAAACGATAGATCGCATTCATCGATTACTCACTGATAAAGCTTGCGTGAAACTCAAACTTAACAGACAATTGTAGCGTAACGATTGTACGACGAGTGAATAAAAATTCTTGAAAATATACTAGAATTCGCAACGTAAAATAAATACTCTCCTATATCGGTTGTGAAAAGAATGGGTACCGAAATATTCGCTTGAAACAGAAATTCGTACGAGCAACGCTGACCTGTGGAAATTAAATCTTCTCTGCTCCGACAACGTAGTTTCAGCGTAATTAATTAGTTTTGTGTTACTGCAGGGGAGCTTCGCTCTCTTGAGTGTAGCTTTTGACCCTGCTGAACTTAAGAGGCGGATATCGGCCAGAAATTGCACATTTCAAGCACATTCGTGCCTCGTGTTCGTTCCCGTACCTCGTGACTATAGTATAACCCAACCATTTCAAAAGAGAATTAGTTCGTTTGTAGTGGTCTTTGATTTCAAATTCCTATAAAAAAGACGACATAGTATCCGCTATGTTCGAAAATAGTATTTCGAGTTGAGATACTTACAATATGGAACGTTCGTTCGTGCGTAGGCTCTCTCTTCTTCTTTCTGTTGATAACGGCTACCTTGGAATCCTGTTTTTTAAGCACTACGGTAACGAAATTATCGTGTAATCGATAGTGACCGACCAGAACCGATGGATTCCGTGGGTTGCGACTTTTCATAGCGTTTACGCAGGCTTGTGCTTCGTCGGTCGATGTTAGCATTAGGACTTTACCCTCGGGGAAAAATCTGTTTGTCGTGAGAAGATGATATCAGAATCGAAACGACGATAAATCGCGACCATACCCACCTTAGGTACCTAAAGTATTCCACCAGATGCCATGGCCTGTAAAACGAATCTTGGAAACTGTTCTCGCCGTGGCGGATGTAACTGGTNTACATATATTATATGGAGGATGGAGGATGAAAGCAATGAGAGAGAGAGAGAGAGAGAGAGAGAGAGAGAGAGAAGAGAGACCGAGAGGAATAATTTCGAGCGAATAAGCACATCAAAAATACAGTTTATTATAGACATTCACAGCAATGTACACGATGTGTTCCCGAGCAATCATTCTCTCGATCCAAGTAAATCGCTTCACAATGTCAGTATTATATTTAGACGAATAAAACTGTTCCAAACTATTCGTTCGATTTCATTTAATTCCGTGTCGCAAGATTACTCGCGTATCTAACTTCGTTACTCGCGTAGTGCCGGCAGAAATTTATATCGTATTGGAACGAGGTCGACCGCGGATAGATCTTCTATGATTACGAAACAAGAAGTACACGTTTAATTGATATACGGTACTCGTACTTTTATTTCTTATTCGACCAAACGTACGCGTTTCTAAGTAGAACCCTATATGAAATTAATGGAAAAGAAAAAGCAGAGCTGCGAGAACCGAAGTCTCGTTACACCACCTCGATAGAAACGAGATAGCATCGCGTCAGTGTACGTTTTATATTCTTGCGGTTCCGATTAAGTAAAGCTGCATGCTCCTCGGTAGTTAGTTTATAGTTTGATCGATATTAAGTATTATTAGTACACCTGCAGCGTGAAAACCATTAACCGTCGCTCTGAATTCTACGAGAGATCCGACGAATAAAGTATGCGAACAACTTCTGAAAATACGAGCACCACCCGTCTTCGAAGAACGTAAGGCACGCAACAAGTGCACCGCGAAACGATAGATCGCATTCATCGATTACTCACTGATAAAGCTTGCGTGAAACTCAAACTTAACAGACAATTGTAGCGTAACGATTGTACGACGAGTGAATAAAAATTCTTGAAAATATACTAGAATTCGCAACGTAAAATAAATACTCTCCTATATCGGTTGTGAAAAGAATGGGTACCGAAATATTCGCTTGAAACAGAAATTCGTACGAGCAACGCTGACCTGTGGAAATTAAATCTTCTCTGCTCCGACAACGTAGTTTCAGCGTAATTAATTAGTTTTGTGTTACTGCAGGGGAGCTTCGCTCTCTTGAGTGTAGCTTTTGACCCTGCTGAACTTAAGAGGCGGATATCGGCCAGAAATTGCACATTTCAAGCACATTCGTGCCTCGTGTTCGTTCCCGTACCTCGTGACTATAGTATAACCCAACCATTTCAAAAGAGAATTAGTTCGTTTGTAGTGGTCTTTGATTTCAAATTCCTATAAAAAAGACGACATAGTATCCGCTATGTTCGAAAATAGTATTTCGAGTTGAGATACTTACAATATGGAACGTTCGTTCGTGCGTAGGCTCTCTCTTCTTCTTTCTGTTGATAACGGCTACCTTGGAATCCTGTTTTTTAAGCACTACGGTAACGAAATTATCGTGTAATCGATAGTGACCGACCAGAACCGATGGATTCCGTGGGTTGCGACTTTTCATAGCGTTTACGCAGGCTTGTGCTTCGTCGGTCGATGTTAGCATTAGGACTTTACCCTCGGGGAAAAATCTGTTTGTCGTGAGAAGATGATATCAGAATCGAAACGACGATAAATCGCGACCATACCCACCTTAGGTACCTAAAGTATTCCACCAGATGCCATGGCCTGTAAAACGAATCTTGGAAACTGTTCTCGCCGTGGCGGATGTAACTGGTCTTGCTGATGTAGCATCCGTTGTACCTCAATCTAGGCCGCTCTAAGTACATCTCCCTCCATGACTGGTACGCCGGCTCGTATGTGCCACAATTCACGCCCCATGCTCTACAGAATTTGGTAACAATGCGAATGATAGACGTTTGATCGACTTTATGTACGGCACGCTAAGAAATGCTCGCGGTTTACCTGATACAGGCGAGCCTCCAAATCTCAGAGTCTCTGGCAGATATGTAAAATCCACGACACACCCTGGAGAACATTTCCAGGGACCTCATATCTAGCTCGGAGGACACGACCCATCTCAAAATATAAAGCACTATCTCCATAGGCAGAGCAGAAATGTGTGTTGTCTAATGCAAGGAAACAGACATCAATAACACAGCCAAAGCATCCCGAGATGCGATACAATATCTGATTCACCAATTGTAAACAATAAATACTAACATTTTGCTCAAATTTAGGAAAACAAACACATTTATTGCGGTTTACAATTTTGCATAGCTTAACAAATAAATCACTTTCCTCTTCCTCTTCATCGTTATGATTCTCATCGTTATTATCAACACTGACCGAATCATTGTCTAAGCTTTCATGGTTTTCGTCGATCGTTATCATCTTAGTCGACTCATACAACCGAAACTCAATGTCAGGAACTAATTGTACGGCGCGTTTGTAAAACTGAATAGCCTCGTAAAATTTTCGACTTTTCTCGTATTCGATGCCTATCAAAAACAAATTTTTCGCCTGGAACAAAATCATCTGTTATCACGGAAGATTCGCTCAACGATCAGCGGATCATGTTACCTTGTCCTCGATGTTTTCCTCGCTGTAGTCGACGTTGATTTCGACCGATTTCGAGGAGGAAGCCTTGGAGGTGTCCCGTTTCGGTGACAGAACCAACTCGCGTTGCCATTGTTCCCGGAAAGATGTTAGCGCATCCTCGATGTTGGTGTCCGAGAAGGACGAGCCTTCTTGATCCTCGCCATCTTCATCCGATTTACCAGATTGACCGGTTTGACTCTGTTGCCGCGGCAGGAAACAACATGACGAACCATTTTAATCGCGCCAACGAACCGCATGCGATCGGGTATACACGTGAGACAAATGGGTCGCAAACGATTAGTATGTATAATGTTACGGTACGAAACGAAAAGAGATGGTATCGAAACGATGACGTTGTATCATTCTCGATTGAGGTTATGTTGACGCGACGAGAGTTTTATTCGGCAACAATGGGACGACAGTCGTTGTTTATCGACGGCACACGTACCATTCTTGATCCTGATTCAACTTTTATGGTACGATCTCTTCAGCGCTTGTACTCTCGGTCGGAAAAACGTACGACACAACGGAAGTGCAACTTCGCCAACAGAACCGCCGCCATGGTTTTCGCCCGTTTGCTCTGCGAATCTGCGATGCAATTTGTACCGCTCGCGATTATAGATTGCATTCGTCTGTGTGCGTGTATATCGTCAGCTGACGCAACAATTTCGAATTCTCTGGTTTTTCTTTCCAAACTATGGCAAGGTATGAATAAACAAGATCATCGACGAGTACATTTTATTACGATTATCTATCTACGTATGCTTATTTATTAAACGTTTGATTCAATAATTTCAGAATTTTATTAAAAGTTTAAACGAAGAAAAAAAACACGTCGCAAATGGTGTACGGTTTGTTCACTGAAAAAGTAAGTTACGAAAACTTTACAAAGTAGAAAGTAATTTATTGTATCGTATTTTATTTATTAATCCCATAACGCACTTGCATCGATTGCGTCGGTACGATGCTGCTGATAGGTAGCGTTCTATAGCGGTGACCGGTGGCGATCATTGACCGTATAATTCTGACTAATTGGTAAAAATTGAAATTGTATGCAGCGATCGTTGATCGAATACATCAATATTAAGATGTCCACACCGCAGATCGCGTATCATGCGAATATTTTATGCAAAGTAAGTACACACATATATGAAATTACAAGAAATAAGAAGCAAAAAGAATATTGTCTCTTCCTTTAACGATTGTAATTAAAATTCTTCAATTTATATGATTTCTCTGCTGTTTTAGGTTCCAGATGCTCGATTTTACGCAATAAACGTATAAAATTTGCAATGCAAATATAAGCTGGATTTAGGTCATTTTTACCTGTCGAGTTCCCACCGGATAAAGTTAAGGTATAACTAGAATGCGTCGCAATCAATTATAATTAAGACGTATAATTAATATAATTAATATACCTCTTTACGCAAGAATCAAGGATCGAACTTCCATTGTAATGCATGCAATAATTCCATGTAATTCAACGAATATAGCACACGATGATACTCTACTTTCGATCAATTCGATAGCAACGTTCTTCCACCGGAACCCCGACGACAGCTTTCTCAGACTAGAATACGAAAATCTCGTGAACGGTGGATCCCGGAACAAGTTTGTCGTTATTTGGAAGCTACCAAACAGAAGCGAATTCCTCGGCAGAGGTTTCTTCAACGGCGTGCCTCTCCTACACGTGTATCAACATCGCGGTCCCCTCCTCTTTCACAAAACCATCGCTACCCGAAGATCGTCTTCTCGAGTAAAAGCCGCGTGCTAACCGAGCGTGGGCACAGACAGCATCATGAGCTTGGTGAGTACGAAACTACTCATTCACTGTACCTCTCCTACAATAAGTTTCTCTATTTTCACTATCGTCTCGGGTTTCTCTCGTACGATCTCCGCGCACGATTGCTAACAGCGAGGGACGTATCACGTGCTTGTGACAGTGAATCAAAGTCACGGATTCAACGCTGACAATGAGTGAAAAGTGTCGCTCGCCGATCCTTAGATCACCGAAAGTGAGCGAGAATTCTACGTTAGACGATTTCTAACGAATTTCCACGTTAACGAGGCGGTATAGCTACGAAATTCTGTAAAACAAACCCGATCGAATCGATCCGAAATTAATTAGCGTCGGCTGCTGGACGGAAGGTGCAAGTTCGAGGTTCGAAATCGTTGTTCCCGTAGCAAGGAACGAGTACACGTTATACCAACGCGGTGGTAATCGAAAGTTAGTTGCACCGTGCGACTCGATGCTGGAAAAATTCAGATTTCTATCCAGAAGAAGTTCCCGATGTGCCTTCTGTGCAGGAGGCGACTTTCTTCTCCCGTACTTATTCGCGTGCTCCTACGATCAGATATTTCCGTGTGCGCATTCACGTGGCACATTCTCTGCACCGTCCAATGGTTTAATTCATAGCCTTGAACTACGCGGCGTCGTCGCGACGTGTTTCTAATCGAATAATCGGTTCGATCTTTGCATGTAGGTCGGTACTCGGCACACGCCCCGCGGATCAAAATCGAGATCGTATCGGGCCGCGTGTTTTCTCCTGTTTCACAAGTAATTGCGCGGCTTTCGTCGACGATTGTTCGGATCTCGGCTTAGGCTTCTTCTTCTTCTTCTTCTTCTTCGCAATTATTTTAGTCGACTTTGCGAATTCGTTCGCACGGTATTAACAATCGAAGCAGAGGCTGCGAGTGCCAAAATTGAAAAGATTCGCGTCTCTGTATCGGTAGGAGCGCATACCGTGACATGGAAAGTGGGCGAAGAGTCGTCGATGACGTCGCAGTGTATTTGGAATATTTGGGACACGTTTTGTAGTATCATGGAAATAAAAGAATATTTCGAAGAAAGATATCTTTGGTTTTCTACGTTACAATGCTTAATTAATCGAGCAAACGAATAACACAGGAATTTCTTTCCGTGTCAAAGAGACGGCACACACACACGCGGAGTCTTCTAAGCTCGCGATCCTCTCTTCAGACTCTTCAAAATTTGTTTTTTATTCCGTTCGTCGCGTTCCCATTCGCATTTGGCAACGAAAAGATGGAAGGATCGAGTTCCTCGATCGGCCCAATTAATAACGCGCGCGTACAAGTGTTCGCCGATTGCTTACGGCTCAAAGTTTCACTGCACCGCGACGGTCATCTTTCGATCATTAAAAACTTTCTTTCGGCCACCACGCCGCGTTCTTCCTCTAACGCCGCGCCGTTTCCTCGACTATCGAGGACTAATTTTAACAACTCAATTTTCCAGCGGCCGAGAAACGGTAAGCTTCGCGCGCAGTTAGCGCTCGCTGCGTTCATTAATTTGCAACATGGTAGTAGTTCACGCGACCGGCTCGAGGAACGCATTCCTCGGGCGCAGCACGCGCGATCCTCGGATTCGCGGTTTCATCAACCCATTTGTTATCTGGCGCGAGCAGCGATTAGCCGAACGAATTTTTAATCGAAACCCGAATCGAGCGCACGCGACCATTCTTTTTTTTTTCTTATCGACGACCACTCGCCACGCGACAAGCGAATCGCCCAAATACGAAAACCGAAGCGTCCGCGAATTTCGCGCGATCCCAGCTTTCGCGGAGTTAATGGACCGCGACACGAGATACAGATACTATTAATTTAGACGCGTAACACATATACGCGCTTGGAAATTTAATCCACATTGCGGTCGAGGTTGCGGTTCTACCGCGAACGGCCGCGCGGCGTTCGTTGCGCTCGTCCTTTTACGCAGGAATCATTATCGTGGAATACCGTATCGTTGACCGCGGATCACTCTCTTTCTCGCTGTCGCCGCATGAAATCGGTGAAAACGAAATCAGTTCTACCGCGCGCAGATACGGATTTCAAAATAAACGCAGGTGGATCGGTTTTTTTCGAAAGCATAGTCGCGTTTTCACCGGTGAACGCGGTCGAGGTAGAAAGGTGTCGTTGGCTCGGTCTCGGTATCGATCGAAACCAGAGATCGAAAGGATCATGGAACCACGTATTTAACAGATTATGGTTAACACGTGGACCGTGGAATTTGTTTAAAAACTATTCCGATTGGAACGAATTACATGTATGCGTGCACAGACTTCACAGTTATCGAACAAAGTCCGCAACTGGATAGAAACAGAAATCACTTTCCTCGGTTGAAATTTTCCAGGACGATTAACATAAAGAAAAGTGGATCGGACAAAGTCGAGACGATTTGAAAGTCTAAAGACCGATCTGGAATCCTTCGTTACTATTTCTAGTGGAGCGGAGGTCGCGAGTCGCGAACGATGGTCATCCTCGAATCGTTCCACCGCATGCAAAATCTACGTAGTCTTCGACCAGACTATGCCGTCGTCGTCGTCGTAATCGTCGTATTCGTATCTCTTCGTGTCCCTCGTGTAACCGCACTCCGAGAGAAAGTAATTACTTACCAAACAATTTATGACGAGACCGAAATTGGGTGTGGGTACGCGACGTGTCCCCTAAGGTGACGAGTTCGTTGAACCGAAAGCAGGTGGCATCTTTTTCGGTGATCGGGGAAGAAAGTTCTTCCCGTGTTCGGCGATGACGTATCGGACAATCTCAAAGAAAGATCAGCCGCCCCTGATCGAGTCTAGCCTTTTAATCATTTTGGCCAGTTGTTGCGAAACGATCGAGAGTACGTTTACGAAAGGAAAAGGGACCGCTATACGTTGGAATTGATACAGACAATTTTAATTTGCATACGAACTGTTAAAAGAAATAATACAGTTTTATCCGACTCTTTAACTATTAATTTTAATTATTATATTATATTTAATCGGTACACTCGAAAAGTTATCGATGTCTGTAAAACTGTCGAGCGATCGAAAAATCTGACCGAAAAATGTCTCGTTCTAGGAATCGATTTGCGATTCGATTCCAGTTAGAAAAAGTTGACGCGACGCGAATCGTTTCGTCGCTGGACATTGTTCCGTCGCGGTGCATTTCGACGGGACCTTTCTCACGGGCGATTTTCTTCGATCGCTTTCCATCGATCCGTCGATGGACCGAATCGATCACGGAGACCTCCTTAAGTTATATAGCTTATCCTATAAATTGTTCCGAACGAGGACGTTCCTCCGACGTTCCTACGAAGCCGTCATCCTCGACTTTCACTCGTCGTCGCCCGCGATACGACGCGCCGCGACGCGACGCGTAGCACCGTACATTGCAATTTAATTGCACACGACTCGATCTGCTCATCCTCCCGCGGACTCTATCGTCGTCCACCATACATTATTCAACGCCAAGGACTCGTTGTATAATCGCCGCGTACTTGGCGACACTGTCAAAACGCGCTTTCACGCGTTCCCGGTTTCCGCGTTTCTGCACGGACCTGTTCGTAATACAAAAGCGTGTCCGAACGATCCTCGAAACATTCGATTACGAAATCCGCTCGCCGAATCGCGGCATTTCGCGCGAGAATCCTCCGTTCATTCCAGTTTCGCGGGATCCTCTAGGAGAGATTCGCTCGCGTTCGTTACAAGCGGTCCGACGTATCGTTGGACCGCGGTTTAATTGGGCCGGACGAGATCATCTCGTGCTCGTTCGTAAGCTTAATTAAGAAAAAGAACGGTTGCGTCGCGATGTTGACATAGTTTCGGGTGTTTCGATGTTTAGAGTCATCGACACCGACGGAAGCGTTTCTCCGTTTTTTTTCGATCCTTGAAAAACCGTACGTTCCCGTTTTCGACGACGAACAACGCCCATGTGTTCTTACGGATCCTTTTACTTTTGGCTGGGAAAATAAAGATTTTCCGAAAAGCGAAAGCCAAACGAAACGATCGGTGTATCCGAAGTCGTTTACCGTTCGGCAGAATCGCGTTTCGTCAGCCGAATGTGGGACTATCACGTGACAAATCTGATATCTGTCTCGATCGTCCCGTCTCGTCTCGTTTTGCCTCGTTTCGTCGCGTCGCGTCGCGCCCAGCTACGAAGGCACGGCAAGTTCAGGAGCGTGCACATCCTCGACATACTGCCGAGTGAAAGTACCGCCTTCGGCCCGCGGCGCATTCTCTTCTCTTCTCTTCTCTTCTCCACGTATCGCATCGTCCAACTTCTACCGTGCGAACATCGAGGCCGTCTCTCTCACGGTGTTTTGTATCCAATCGTATGTAACTGCTCGTTAACCGCTCGAAACGCCGCGCCGCGCCGCGCCGAGCCGAGCCGCACCGGTAATCTTAATTTTCGATGAATGGAGACGAGATAACAGAACCGTTCGCGAAACCCCGCGAACCGCGCGTCTCGTTTCCCGTCCGTCGCCTCCAATTATCGCATACCCGACGATTACCCCGAGCACATGCTCGAAAATGTTCGATTCGAAGTTGCGAACGACGGTCGAACGCATGCTCCGGGTTGCACCTGTGCATTCCTGCGATTTCCCCCGGGAAAGGTTGCCGTCTTTGCTCGAGTGGCTTTCCTATTTTTCCTGGACATTTTTGGGACCAGCTTTCTCGTCCCGACAGCGCTTGCAAAACCGAACGAAAATAATTCTAACGGGTTCGAGAAACCAGTTCCCGGTTTCTAGCAAACAGAAAACGGCGTGTCTCACCGTTTCGTCGGAACGCGCGCCGTCGGAGAAACCGTCGGCTCGAGCTGCAAGCGCGCGAATAAACGTTACCCTTGCTCGATACGATCGAGTCCGCGTAACGATTTGTGGAAAGATACGACAACGAAACGCGTTTAAAAGAGATCCGAGCGTAATTACAGCGAACTTCGCTGGGAACGAGGTGCCGCGCGAAACCCGCAGCGGAGAATTATCGGTGCGAGCGGAGCTCGCTCCGATTATTGCGCGATAATCGGTCCAATTGGTCGACGAATCGTTCGCCGGTGCTCGTTTAATTAGCGCGGATTGCTTCTTGTATCGCGGCGTTGTGACGCAACGGAGTTTGGGGTCGTCGAAGACGGACGATCGAGACAACGATTTCGGTGTCAAGAATATCGGATTCCGGAAGCGCATTATTTCGTCGACCGTCGCGTCGCTCCATTAAAACCACGACGCTTAGTTAACCGGTCGTTTCTTTCGCGCGGATCGGCCCGCCGTATCGTTAAGCCGGAGAAAAGCGCATGAAATTTATCTGGAATCGTGATGATAAGTATAGAACGATTTCACTGCAGGGTTCTTACGCTCGTACTTTCATCCTGGAAGAATGGAAACTTCGGATTATGTACCTACGGTCTATACAGAAACGATCTATCGTTGCCTCTGCGCGTAACTAAATTGGATCGGCCCGCGAGGGAACCTAAACAAACGTTCGAGCACGATGTTCCAACGAAATCATTTAATCGTCGCGAAGCGCGCGCGAAGCGATCTAAGATGGTAAGAACGATTAATTTCATCTAGAAAAACTGTCGAAGAAACCAGAGAAATTTCTATTTGGCTCGCGCTCCTTCCAATTATGCAAAGTTTCGACTTAGCACGAAGTCGACTTTGCCCGGTCTACATATTAATGTGCAGAAATAGAAACCGAGAAATAGCTGCGAAATTGCGTTCGAACGCCGTTCGGCAAGCTTATAATTTCATGCTTCGCCGGGTGGTAATTTGGGGAACATTGGCTTCTCGCTGACACCTTCTTCCCCATTTGCATCGGCCTAAAGACGACCGCCCATTAACTTTTTCACGTGTCATTGTTATTTTCTAATCGAAGAGCTGCTCGTTCGACGCGCGACGCGGAGAAATTCTCGCCGGATCCATTTACATGTTAGAAATGGAAAACGGCGGGTCCTCTCCGAGAACCGTCTTCTCGAAAATCGGCCCGTAGAAAGCCGATTGTCAACGAAGACGTCGGTCACGCACGCTGTCATAAAATACCCGCCGGAGTTTCTCATTAAACTTCGCTCCGTAGAATTTTAAACAGTCTCTTCTCGACCGTGCCTCTGGCATTCTGCGAACGGTATCGCCTTGTAATCGTTTAATTATCGTAATTAATTGAAAATCTTGCATTCGAGCTTATCAACGATACGTAACAGCACCTTTAATTCGATCGTTTAAATGCGAACTCCGATTTCACCGTACAATCGCCGGTTTAGATTTGGAGCGATCGAATTGGAATCAATTCGAAATTGAAACAGCGAGCAAGCAGGGCGATCTTCGATTACCGTTTCAATTAGAGATTAGAAATTCCGACTTGCTTTCGCGATCGAATCGCGGCAAGCGAATTTCTTTTCCAAGTCGTTCGCATGATTTATCGCGACAAGCGTACCAGGCGGGACACGTGTCGGGCGATCGGTCGGTCGGCCTCGCGGATCTCGAGAGGCGACAGAAAGCGCGAACGAGCCGAATCGTCTCGACACACTCGCGTCTTCTTATTTCGGCGTTCGAACAAGTTAATGAGATGCTGGACCAAAGACGACCGAGACGTTCGCACGATCGTTCGGCGGTTTAGAAAGTTTCCGACGATGTATAGCCATTAAGCTTAGGCGGGTACCCAATTTTGCCCGTCCCCGTCCCCACTGTTTTCGACCACGGAAGCGCTCCAAAACTATACGATCGTAAAAAGTGGAATTTATTGGTCGATGCCGCTCGTTTCGTAGTCGTTATACCCGTAAATGCCACGAGTCGCGTTATCGGACGTTTAATTAATTGGCCTTTACAGGCTGTCGCAAATGTTACACCGCTTCCGAAACACGCCGTTTCCTTAATTTTTCTGTCGTCGCCCAGAGAAACGCGTTTATTCTTCGAGAATTAAATTGGGGTCGCGATTAACAACCGATTCTGGAAAGATCGTGCCGATAAGAGAAGTTAGCAACGATTGTTACACATGTAACCTTATGAGACGTATTAAAAAGAAAGTTCTCGGTTTACGGAAACTTTAACGACAAAGAATTATTGCCCCAATTATATTTCATCTTATAAGACAGGTCGAACAATTCGTGTCTACGACCGCTTCGAGCAGATAAAGTACCTCGTCTAAATTTCGATCGTACGAATCTTACATTTCAAACTCGAGCGTCCGGCCCAAAATAATTATAAATTACAAAGGCCGTTACAAACGAACTTTCTAATCCAATTTACCGTCGACTTTCGTCCATTACGTATCCTTAATGTCGAAAATATGCTAAACAACAACGTCCGCGAAACAACAATACAAATAAAGCTTAATCGACTATTGCGACCGGTCCTATCGCGGCCCTCTCCGAAACGCTTGGATTAAAAGTCGATCCTAGCGAATGGAAATCTCCGCTTAATTGCTGCACGCGTACATAAATTTCGACGACATTTACGTGGAACGATGAAAACGCGATTTCCCCGATGGCGTCGCGCGGCGCGCGGCGATGGGTGTGGGAAAAGTCAACCGTAAACAGCGAACGCTACGAACGCAGGAAGAGTCTCTGCGAGAATGCGATTGACGCTTGGATCGTAAAATGAGTAACAGGTTTCCCTAACCCACGCCTTAAGGTCTCGCATCGATTTTTCATTGTCTGTTTCAACGTATACTCGCTTTGTCGGACTCGACGCGGCGGCTTTGAACGCTTCTTCTCGCGCGTAACTTTCTTTGCAAATGTCAGAGGCGGCCCATTCGCGGCCGACTGGACCGCCTGGTTACCATTTTTCCATCGGTCGGGGGGCACGCCGAGTGTTTTCTCTCGACTTTGCGGCGACGCGCGTCGCCTTTGCGACGCTTACAATTGGAATCGCTTAGAACGGAAGCTGCGCCGAGCTTTCTGGCACTTCGTCGACATTCCTCCGTCGCAACGCGCCGCGCCGGGGAAACGAAAATCGCTTTTCCTTTTCGGTGGCGCAGCCTTTAACGACCGCCGTGTGAAAGTTCGCGCCGTTGAAGTAATATCCAGTCGGAGCCAGCGGAAGGGGACCCGCGACCTCCAAGGTGCGGTTGCCGCCGCGAATGATCTGTTTCTCAACTATTTTCCCCGTTTCGACGCGTTCCTGTCTGCCGTTGCACCTGGGTGACGATCCTGCTCCACGACCGCAAAGAAATTCGCTCGATAATTGGCCACCGGTTGCGTCCCACATCCGTAGAACCTGCAATTAATATTCGAAACCGAGGCTCGTTATCGGGTCGCGTCTTTCCGCGTCGTTCCGCGCGTCACGCGTTTTCAAACGTTCCGCGGTGATTTTACATTATACGTACCGCTGTTATGTTATTAAAGTTTACCGACGTTCGACAGTTGTAAATTTGCCGTAATACCTACTGTAATATGCCTCGTTAGTCCCTCGTCTTCCAACGAATGTTGCGCCGTGATGGGAACATGGAACAGCATCCGTTAAGAGCAAACGTTTTGTGTCACGCAGCGTTTCTAAAACACAGAGAAACGTGGCACGATACATTCGTTTGTATTTACGTCGCGAGGAATTCTGTAATTTACGAGAGAAATACTTGCCCAACGTTGGTTTCGTAGAAACCAACGTACTTCCGTCGTCAATATTTAAGACGCTCTGAAAAAACGAAATTTGTATTCGCTTTTAAAACAGTTGCACAGGTAATTGCAAAAGTGTTACACTATTTAAGCAAGAGTTGCGTTTAGAAGAGGTATGGCCTATCAGGAGGCTATTGTTTCGACTAGTTAGCTCACGCTAAATGTGAACGCGTAACGTTACGTCACTTCGAGTGCGGTATTTGCTCTTTTATTTATTTGTTTAAAAGAAACTACTATTATAATACAATGACGAGTCACGGAGCCGTTTCATAATCTACTCTATCCGACACGCTTCGGTTCTACGGAGCTGTTTTGTGTTGGAAACCTGCAACGGGAAACGACCGTGTACACGCCTATAGAGCGGCACGGTACAGTGCCATTCATAGCGAATCGCACGAAGTTGAATAGAGGAAGAGCAGAAACTAGTTTTGATCGACTAGCACAACGATCTACCACCCTGACAAACTACCCATGCGGCGTATCGTATTTTCTACGAGTATCTCGTACGACGGAGAAGATGCAGAATTTTCAATGTTTCATACTAATTAGAAAACTAACGCGAGATCTCAGAAAACTTGTCGATAGGTGTGGGCTTCGTTAATGTGGACAACTTTCACCATGAGTGATTAATACCTCCTTCTAAGCGTCCGAGTATGCAAATTTTTCTGGATACGGCCGAGAATGTTTTTGTGGAGCATGCCGCGGGGAGTCGCGTTCGCATACTTTAATATTAAAACGAGTTTCGAAAGAAGGATATCCATAATTTCTGGTAACGACGGACACCGACGAAAAATGGTACAAAGCTCTTGGAAGCTTTGATGTACAGTCGCCTCCACGGTACGATCGCGACGATTGGAAGACGCGTCCATTAATTGCGGCTACAAAAATTCTATAAACTCCGCGCATGCTTCTGAAAAGTATGTCAGCCCGTAAGCATCGAGTAAAAATGCAATCGCGAAGAAATCAATTGTTCCACAGCATATCGAGACGCAATCGACAAGCATTTAACGGACGTTACGGAAACATATTCCTCCGTCTCGATTGTATCTACGACCAGCTAATTCGCATTCGAACTTGCAGGCAACGCTAGTACTCCTATTGGCGAGCACATCGATAACCCTGACGAGATCTCAAGAGACCGAGATCTCGGCGAAGGGTCTGGACATGACGCAGCCTCCGATCAAGCTGGACAAGAATCTTCGTCGAGCCCTGTTGAAGGCTCTGACCGATTTGGAAGCGGAATCCGCGGAGCAGCATAAAGGCGAGCAGGGGCCGGCTGGCCAGGTCGAGGCCGACTTCGATGGCGTGACCGACCCGAAGAAAAGCCTGAACGCGGATCTCGGCGTGCGCGGGCTCGGGTCGATGTTCTCGTTCCAGAGCTTCCCTCGGGACGAGGAGATCCCGCCGGAGGACAAGCTGCAGAACTCGAGCTTCTTGGAGTCCGTTCGTTACGTGACGCTGAAGACGCCCGCGATGCACATCGAGAAGGCGACGCAGGAGGAATCCAGGAGCTTTCACGTGCAGAACGTAATCTTCCCCGAGAAAAGTGTCACGTTCGGTACGAAAATAGAGCCGAAGGCGGAGCAGGAAGAGAAGAAGAGTCCTCCGAGGCCGGCCAATACTTTCTCCGTGAGCAGAGTGGAAAGCCTGACGTTGAAGCCGGCCACGGAAGTCGCGGAAAGCCTTGCCGGAAGTGCGACGACCGGTATCGCGACGGCGAACGCGTTGGTCGCGCAAAGATTGGCCGAGCCCACGCCCTCGCCCTCGACCGCGGCCACGGGCAACAACGCCACCGCGTCCAGCGACGCGAAGGACAAGACCGAGGAAGTGAAGATCTTCCAGGCGCCGCTCGTCGCGGCGTTCACCGTGCAGCAAGACGAGCAAGGCATTCCGAAAAGCGTGGTGCCGATCTTCAGGTCCCCGAACGACGGTCAAGCTTTGACGCTGCAGGAGCAATTGGAGTTCAAGCAGCAACTTCTGGAGAGGCAGCTGGCGGAGCTGCAGCAGCAGCAGATCCAGCAGACGCAGTTCCTGGTGAGGCAACAACATCTGTACGAGCAGCAGCTCAGGCAGAAGCAGGAGCAACAGTATTACCATCAGGAGCAGGCTAGGATCAAGCAGTTGGAGGAGCAGGCCAAGATCAAGCGGCTCGAGGAGCAGAGGATCAAGCAGCTGGAGGAGCAAAGGCTGCACAGGTTCCAGCTCCAACGTCCCGTTCCGCAGAAGCAGTTCTTCTTCGAGCAGAGCAACAACCTGTTGACCTTCCAACCTCCCGTCGACCCGAACGTTCATCTGCAACCCAGCGTGGCCTTGGAAGTGCCCAGCGTCGCGACGCCCCCGCCTTTCCAATCGAACGTTCTCGATCAGCTGCGGTTCCAGCAGTACCGCCAGCAACAACCTCCGCAATCCCAGCATTTCCAGCAGCCCCAGCAGTTGCAACAGCTGCAGCAGCCCCAGCAGGTGCAAACGCTGCAGCAGACGCGGCACTTGCAGCAAACGCAGCAACCGCAGCAGCAACAGCATCAGCAGAGATTGCAGCAGAGCTTCTCCGGTTTCGCCGACTTCCAATCTTCGTTGCCTCCCACGACGAGATTCAATAGACAGGAGGCGTTCAACGCCGTTGGCAACTTCGGCTTCAACGGGGACCACAAAACCACGGCCAGCAGAAACAACTTCGGGTTCGGTGTGCCCCAGAGGAGTCCCGTGAACTACTACAATCCTTACGTTCAGTACAGACAAGCGAAACCAGCGACGCCGGCCAAGCAGATACAACATCTTCTGTATCAATCCGGGATCGCCAGCGATCTGGGCAGCGTGCAAGGTACCGGGAACCACGAGGATCTCAACATCGTTTCCAAAGTGCTCGCCTTGAACGTGGGCCACATTCCGAACAAGGGTCTTCAGTTCAAAGCGAATCAAGCAACCTCGTTCGGGAAAGCATCCGCGTGAAGAAAGAAGCGGGACCGGAGTTAGACGAGTCATGTAAATCGCTGCAGGACGATATTAGTCAGGTGAAATCGAGCTCTCACTTTTTCCTCCTTCGCTCCTTTATTCGGTTTCCCCGTCTCGAGCTCGCCGGGTCCTTCAAACGGGCACGCGCGTGGAAATCATGACACAAGCGCCGATGGATAACGCTCGGAGCCCCGTTTTAACTCGTATTTATTACGTATTTCGCGATCGACGCCCGTAAATCTACGATCTCGAATCCCGATTAGACGTAATCAACGATTAGACGATCGTCCGCCGAAGTTTCTATTGTTTCGACGGAAACGGGGAACGTGTTTTCGTGTAATTTTCATCGTCGTTGTTCCTCGACGTCTTGCACCATTCGTAGAAGCATCGCAAGAACATCGCGAATCTTACGCAAACGTTATCGACCGATCGAACCGATCAGACTATAGATATTTATGTAAAATAACAATGTTCTGCTTCGATCGGGAATTCGATGGAACCTCTATCTTGGTAATCTTCAAATTTGTCTCGTGCATAACATTTGCACGCGGTTAGATGCGTCCGATGATAGTAAAATTACGAAAGAACGCTGCTCGCGAAATATTCCCGGCAAAACGACGCATAGTCGGCGAAACGACTCGATCGCCAATCGAAGCCGTGAAAGGAACGTCTGGTTTCTTTCAATTAGTAATTCAATCGCCGGATCTATTGTAAGAGATCCGAATCCGTAATCGCGATCGCGGAGACTTAAACGGCCGCCCGTTGCACCCGGGCGACTCGACGCGATACGCGTGGAACTTCTAAATCAGCATCGGCGAACAATTCCAGGTGAAATCGAGACAGAGTTATCGCGTAGCTCTCGTCGGGCAAAATTGGCGTTCCATCGCGCGTGGGATCGAGACAATTCCCGAAGAAAAACCGCTTTCCACGTACGCCTCGTAATAAGGAAGTCCTTAAGAGGTCATAATAACATTAATTACGATCCGGAGCACTTCGAGCCTGAATTCGCTATTCGTACCATCCTCGATTGTCTTATTACGCAACCATGAGTGATATTGCAAAACAGAGTCTCTCCGCATAACGATCCTCCTTTCCTAATTTCAATTTCACTCTTTCCATCGTTTCACGCGTGCTGCGCCGGTTCCGAAGATGTTCGGAGAAAACTAGTTTGCGATAGAGGCCAGGTACCAAACGAGCCGAAATAATCTGAAAGCAGAGCACTTTGGTCAATATTCGAGCTCCGGGCGTTGAAAATTGTTCGTTCGTAGTACTTAATAGCGTAATCTTTAATTTCCTAACGAATGGGGACAGCAATTTAACCCTTTGCAGTCGAAGCTGTTTGAATTCGAAATCCAAAACATGATTTCTGATCTACAGTATTTCTATTTTATATAATTTATTGCGATTTATGCATATGAAATTGAGCCTATTGCAGCAAGTACAATGCAATTTTAATAGTTTTTTAAATATATAAATATATAAATATTAAATATATAAACGAGGCTGATGCTCTCAGAATGATTTTGAAAAATAGTATACCAATTTCTAGTGGCGCCTCAGAGTCGCCATTCGAGTGCAAAGGGTTAATTCGAGCAAACCGGCGGCTTGGTTCGAGCGATCTACAAAATTTCTTCTTCGATTAACAATCCGACTTTTCGTAGTTGTAAGGTTGCTACGGCGTTACGAGAACAATAGCTAGAAATGATAGTTTGGAGCGAGGGTGTCGCGTCGAACCTCGCTTCGACCGGCGTCGCGATTCGCGGCCCGATGCTAATCGGACGAAAAATGTTATCGCACGGAAGGACAACGACTCGAGGAGCAGCCTTGCCGTTGACTATTAATTATTTATCTAGATGTACGTATAGAACGAGCTAGCTGCGGGACGCCGTGCCGCAACGAATCCAACTCTCCTGGGATCAAGGGTCTCGCAAAATCGTGTATCCGGCCACGCTTCGGGATTGAAAATACCTCGCCGACTGTAAATAAACTTTCGCCAGCGAGGATGGCTCACAATGCCACCGGGCGAGCGAGCGAGTGAACGAGCGCGCGCGCGCGCGTGTACGCGCATGTCCTCAATTTCACAAACGTTTGGCATAGATTCGTGATTTCTCTCGCGACGGACGAATCTTCTCGGAGGGTAGTCGTAAATCGATATTCATTAAATGAATATGTGTCGTTAATTTATACACTTCCGAGTTTCGAAACAGAACACGCTACATGTATGCACACGCGAATCATTTTTGTGAACGAAAATCCAAGGAGCGTGCGTGAAACGGAATTATTACGTTTTTATGTTGCATGCAACCGATTTGTGTACGACGTTGCGATTGAATATATAGATTTAAGGCATAAATTTAAATACGTTACGATTTAATATAACATTAGGATATATGTGTAGATGATACGTTAGATGTAACCGTCGAGATTTCGCTTGTAATTTATCTGACGCCAAACTGTATGACATACTGTAAAAATGTTAATAAACCGTTTCGAAAAATGACCTGACCGTAGTACTCGTGCTATGGCATCGTGATTAATATAATTTTACTTGAAAAGTTCTGTGTCTTACAAAGTCGCTTTAATCGGCTCCCTATTTCATTTCTTGAATTTCATTTCAACTCCAACATCTCGAACGCGAAGCGATTGCAATAACGTTTCGCGGTTAAAGTTATTTCGACGTACCACTTATAAATAAATAAATGTAATATTAGTTACTACCATGAGCATTTGCAATTTGAACATCAAAGACCCAGCGACTGACCAACGATATACAATGTAAGCACACACACGCACGCACGCACACACACACACACAGAGAGAGAGAGAGAGAGAGGGAGAGAGAGAGAGACGGGAAATATAACCTAGCATTTTCTTTTTCAGTGGATACATATTAACGAGAAGTGCGTACTGGCGCTATCTGGCAGCGAATGGTAATACCGCGTCTGTGTTATTAGCGAGAACGAATATACCCTATGCTCTGTACATACTTCATTTCGACTAACTGGACGTACCAATGCAAAGAAACAAACATGACCGAAGAGAACATCGGCACGTTAGAGGAGGAAGCTTTAAAACGAAAAGAACGCTTGCAAGCATTGAAGCGGAAAACCGAGGACAGTAAAGAAAATAAGAATGACGTTGCCAGTAAATTACCGAAGTGAGTTGTCATCGTTTCTGTAAAGATTTTCGATAATAACCTATGCTAACCTCAAAGACGACAGTTTGCTCATGTTCACGTATTTTCTTTCGACAGACCAAAGTTTAGAAGTTACAAACCACAAGATGACAGTCTTAAGGAAAAAGTTTTGGAGGACGCGAAGCCCGGAAACGTAGAAGTGGAAGTACAAGATCAGTTAAGCGCGGCGAACACTAAAGTTGTTATAGAAGAACTTGTAAGTAACTAATTTTACAGCATTCGCAAATTGATCATAATATGTTTACTTTTATCGTAACTCCTCAGGATATTAGTAACTTAGCTCCTAGAAAACCAGATTGGGATTTAAAACGAGACGTTGCTAAAAAATTAGAGAAATTGGAGAGGAGAACGCAAAAAGCTATAGCGGAGCTTATAAGAGACCGTCTTAAACAAGGGCAGCACGATTTGGCCGCCGTAGTAAATATGGCGACTAAAGAACAGTCTTTTTCGCCTACCTGATATTATTAAGTACTTAAATACTATAAGGCGCGAATAATTTTATACGTGAAATACGATAATAAAAAGGATATTTGTACTAATTAGATTCGATACGATATTTATTTCGGTTGACTATATTTTATAGACACACATTTTACATATATACACGTTGGTTTCTGAGAGAATCTTATAAGCTATAGTCTAATCGATATAGGTTGTTATGGCATCGGTAGGAACTGTCGAACGAGTGCCAATATTAAAAATTGCGTACCAAATAGGGTATTAAAATAGGATACCATCGTTTTCTTCGACTACGAACAGATCAGAAATCATTTTACTCTACCGTTTCTACGGAAATGGTAACGCTATAAAAATCCAAAAACTATATTTTCACAACCTTGTATAGCGGATAGCCCTCTGTAAATCAGTCAACGTAAGAACGATCTTTTCACTGAAGCATAAATCGGTACAAAGTGTACGAACGAGCGTAGGATCTCTGCGAACACTTTTACAATCAATTAACAATCGTACGCGCGTAAACGGACAAAAATAAAAAAATATTTTTATCTCATAGTGTGTAGTCTACTACTGCATAGCCATAAGATTAATCGATAAAATGTCGGGGCACGGACATTTTTTTTTTTAAATACGAATGCCTCTGAGAATATAAATAATTACATTTTCGTAACGAGACTTATTATGTACACGCTTATTCAAAACTTTTCAACATCTTATTTTAAATAGTGTATATGTAGTCAAAATCACATTGACTAGAGACTCCCAGCGTATCGTTGCCATGGCAGAAGGAAACTAATTCCGAATACGAGTACCGCAGCTGCAACAGAAATTGAACGTAACGTGAGTTTCGTATAAAAAAAATTTAACAACTTTGATAAATATGCGGAATAACTTTTCAGAAAATTAGCTACTACGAAGACGATCGAGTGGAAGAGATAAAAACAGATACGAACTCGATGCGTTCCATATTCCTTCTTGACCGGAATGATGACCGTTCTCAGTTTTGCCCGATTTCATCGTGCCAGGTGCATCGGTGTCTGATTCTTTAGGAGAAGTGTCCGTCGTGGGTTTTCCAACGGTAGTTTTCGAAGCAATTGTTGGCTTTGGAGCTGATGGACTAGGCGAGTTATGTGTCGAAGGACTCGGTTTCACAGTCGTAGGGACAGAGGACATTTGTTTGGTCGTCGATGCACTTGTCGCCTCGGTAGACGACGATGATCCGCCTGCGGGTTTAGCAACCTCGGTAGGCGATGATGATCCGACTGCGGGTTTAGCAGCCTCGATAGGCGATGATGATCCGACTTCGGGTTTAGCAGGCTCGGTACTATCATTGTTGATGTTACGGTAAATTGTTCTGTTGTCCAACGGCTGCACTGGCCGATAATTATGCGTCAAGTTCGAGCCATCGTTGCTTTTAATACTGCGGAAAGCGGCCAACTGGAAATAAACCTCTTAAATGAGAGAAAGTTCTACACTTCGTCACGCGATACATAGTTTTGTGCAGATTGTTGTTGTGTATTAGTTTTTCCATTTTGTGTCGGCACAAGCTGTGCGTATATTTCAGGATACAACATCGAGAATATTTCAGGATACAACATCGAGAATATTACATTGAAAAATACAACGATCGAGGTTCTTAAAAATTGTGTCTTCATCGGCAATATTACTAATATTCGAGGTACAATATTTCTGACAGTGTAATGGAAAGGTTTCGAATAAAAGCGCACATTGCTGTCCTACGAGGAATGCACCGATGTTGCGCGAATGCGATGAACTTTTTACAAATTTCTCTCACATCTGTACATTTACATCCGTACACAATTGTCAAGAACCTTGAAAAACATCGGAACGTTTGATTTGTGCGATTAGGTAGAACCTTCGTACTTTCTTCTCGATCGATTCGACGAAAAATCTACGTATATTCGAAGATTCGCCGTTCATCCGTTTATCCCTATGAATTTCTATATCGAGAGAACGGCGATTACGAACGGTAGCTAGATGGAACGTCTTTACACGATTCAAATTAGAAGAGACCTGTAGAAGTTCGGTTAGATATTTGAACAGTCTGCACAAACTAACACACCTGCTTGTGTACCTGTTCATGGGATATATTCTGCGGCTTTATGAAGTCGATCCACTGTACGACCTCGAGGCACGGGGGTGTAGTCAACGACCCGATGTACGTGTAATAATCCTGGGACGCTGCGCCGTTCGGCGCGATCAATTTGTTTAAAATGTTATCGTCCTTTATCGTCACGTTACTGTTGACCGTTGCTATTTCCGGCAGCTGTGATACAATCGCCTCGAAATTCGGGTTGGGCTCGTCCGTTGCCTGTAACACGTATATTTTTCCAAGGATTCCATAAGATTCGAAATTCGAGGAAACCCGGTTTCCATCTATCAAGAATAAGTCTGCATGATCGAGCACGTTCGCCGGGAACGCGATCGCGCCGATTTCACGCCGTAAAAATAGAGGAAGAAATGTCGGAGTTTATTTTTTAGTCGCCCCTATTCTAGCCGGAGCGCATCGTCCGAAAGCATTTGAAATGATCGGGAACGCGCGGAACACCGAGAAGCGATACCGCTAAAACAGTTACAGTTGCTTAGGAAATCTAATTAACGAGAGTAATTTGCCCGTGTATTCGTCGCGTGGACGGAGTCGCGCGCGATAAAAGACAGCTTCCTACACCCGTCTTTCAGTTCGAGAAAGAATCATTTAGATAGAGACAAGATATCGGTCGAATTGTATCTCTTGTTGTTTCTACGGTAATTCTTGGAATTAGCAATTTTTTTAGAGCACGGTTGTAAAGTTCGCTGCATCGCGCGAGGAAGGAACAATTTATTGTCCGGAAAATTCAAATTACTTTTAAAAAGACGGTCGTAAGTCGTAACACGTGTGTCAAATGTAACTGCAGTTATCAACTACCGACTTGTTACCGAGCCGACCACAGCACGAAAATAGGTTTCGCTCAAATGCGTGCAACTATATTATTCGAAATACATTTTTTGGTCGTATAAAACAAAATACGAAAGCACAGATTTCCGCGGGCACAACCGTAATTCACATTTCTCGCGGCGGGTTAACGTTCATACAATATCCTTTTCCTCTCGGTGGAAAGTTTAATCCGATCGCTGATCGATTCAAATCCGAACAATTACGTAAGATCGTGCCGCGGCGACGCGTTTAATCGTTACCTGGTATAAAAATGCCAGCACAGCCAAGCCGTCGCGATATTTCATTGCATTGCTCAATGATCCGTAGGACTGCTTCCAGAAAACCGCGTGAAGCTCCATCGAAAACGAGTGATTGTTAATCAGATCTTCCGAGCCTTCGTCGTCGTTTTCTCCCCAATGGAAGTGCAGTTGTTGGAACACGTAGGTGTCGTTGAGCGGTCCTCCGCTCGCCGTGGGTACGTTTTTCGAATCCGAATCGGTACTTCGAATCATCACTGAAATCGATGATGATGATTCGTGAGAACCAACCGCGGCGACACGCAACGACCGCACGGTCGAATCTCGATTCGATCGACGCGACGCACAGTTGTTCCGTCTTTCGGACTCTTCCGATACGAAAATCGTATCCTACGAAGGTTTATCATAATCGCGGGACAACGAGACAACGGCTGTGATGTGCAATAATCGACGCTAATTTGCAGTTGTCCAAGGACAAGAATCGCGCGCTTAAAAACGATTAAAGCGATAAATAGGGGAATGTGGAGCGATCGCGCTTGAAAATTCGTTCTTCCCCGGAATCGAGGAAACGTTTCTCGTTTACCGAATTCGTTCCGGACGTTGGATCTCGTTCAAGATATGCAAATCTCCGATATTTATTCGATGACGAAACGTTGTTTGCTTTCGCGATCGATCATCGCGACGTTCGACGGCGGCACGAAAATTGGAATAGCACGCGAATTGCGCCTTCGAAGCTTTTCTATTATTCGAGAAGCGAACGAACGACTTTTGATTCGTCGTTCGCCGTCGACGGCGCGTACGACGATTTCGAAGGCGGATCTTTGTTACGAGAATCGTGCGAGCATCGTTCGAGACGGAAGGCCGCGGGAAGCAACGATTTCTTTCTCGGCGTGTAATTTAAACGAGGCAATTGCCGTTTGCCGGCCTCTACGTGTCAAGAAACTCGGCTACGGTAACGATGACTGTACTCTCGTCGATGTTTCAGCCTTGCTGCTTTATACCTGTGTGACCATTGTTCGTCATGTAGGCTGGGTGAGGGTCCTGGACGTTGGAAAATCGTAGAGGCGGGAAACTCGCGGTTCTAACATCCTTGTCCTCGATGTCGATGGGGGATTGGTATTTCCCCAGGCAGGTCTTGTAGTCGTCGCCCCAGTGTTCCGGACCTGGCGATCAAATTCCAGATTTCACGTGGACCGTACGATTTTTCGAACCGCGCCCGAGTCGTTCCGGCTATTTCGATAAACGACGACGCAAAGATTCTCGGCGAACGTATCCGCATAAAGCTGACTCGCGAACAAAGAATTCCCATTAAAGTCTAATAAGAGTCGAAGTATGCGACATCGGCATATTTAATAATTGATATTCTCCGTGGTGGATCGATGCGGAATCATCGAGTATTTACGGAACGTGGAAAGAGATGCATTATTGACTTACCGTGTTTCCCGTCGTAGCCGAAGTCGTCGCCGAGCGCGTGGTCTGAAAGAAAACCGTGAATCTTTGAAAAAATGTTCCGCAAACGGGAATCCGTCGCTTTCGACGGAGCGAATAGAAACGGATCTCGTTTCCGCGAGTTCGCGGTTCGAAACGCGGCTCTAATTAGCCGTGCACGCGCGACGTTCGGCGCGTCCTCGTAAGTTTTCGCGCGAGTTTTAGTTACACCGGTGCGCGATTCACGGCCACTTATGGAAAATACGCGAGCGAACGAAAGGATTTCGCAGGATTTGCTTTTATAGACGGGATAATTGGCTGGGAGGGAACGCGCGCTCGAATCGAGCGGAGAATCGTGAGAGTGCAAGGCTCGGCCAGTCAATGCCGCCCGCGAATAAGTGGATACGATAATTTCTACGATGATTTCTACGATGGTTTCTACAATGGATCGCGCGCTTCGAACACAGCGACTCGCGTTATGCGCGGTGAAAGTCGATTCACGGAAGGTATAAACGCGACGGCGTCGCGTTCGACCGGTCACAGACGAATCGTTCCAGTCTCCTTATTAAAGATCGTTGTCGTCGAAGTTTGAAGTTTAAAGAATTCTATCGATTTGTGTTGCCGCATAGATGCGATTACCGTTCGCGCAGCGGTACCTCCTCTATTGACTAATTCAGTTGATACACATAGTACCGAACATAGTGCCGCTGAATTATACAATATAAACTGGTTCAATGTATGCAACGAGGACGACCTATACCGCCCGTGCTGCAATAATCCAGATTACAATGTGTACAAACATTTTATCGGCGAAGTTACTCGTTACACAACTTCGATCGATCGAGGTTTGCTCCGGCATCATCGATTCCGTCCGATTATGTAAAAAAAGTAATCTAGAGTTCCTCGCCGGCGATACGTCGTTACGCCGGTAACGAGGAAGAGGCCGAATCATCGTTTCGAGAAAATTCGTATTTCCTTTATATTTTATCTTTATTCGAGCGGCTCTTTGCAATTTGAGAAATACACCATACTCTTCGTTTGAAGAAAATGTCGAGATAAGATGTGGAGAGATTTAATCGCGATCACGCTCGATTCACTTGGTAAATGCAATTATATAGGTAACGCGTTACAAAACACCGTGAAAGTACATACTTGCTGCACATGCAAATAGGTTTTTCAATCGACTAGCTTATTATTTCATCGGCGGAGAGAGAGAGAGAGAGAGAGAGAGAGAGAGAGAGTGTGAGAGAGGGAGCGAAATGAATATTCAAGAAATGCTTTCCACCGTACGATTTCTTACAGATTTCTATTTACATAATACGGTCGGTGGACGAACATTCGTTAACTAGTTTCACCTATCGAACGGTAACAAGCGATAACGTAGAAATGAAGAATTCGGGAAGATTCTAGAAGAATCTAGAATTCGGGAAGATTGTCCGTAGACGAACGAATGTCCTTACAGCTACCGTATTTTGCAACGATCGTAGACAATTTTAACGTTGCACAAACATCCGCGGTCCGTAATCGTCGGAAACGCCGGAGATATTTCATAATGTCACGTGACTCGGGTTTCGCACATTCGAAATTCAGCTCGGGCAGAAAGGAAAATTTGACGTCTCGTTGGTAAAACGAGAAGAAGGATATAATTGTTGAGCAAGCCTGTTGAACGGCCATCGCGATCACCCGCGGTGGTAGGGCGGCGCAAACAGGAACGGAGCATGAATAATTCATGTTTCCATGGATCCGGAGTTCCCCGTGGACAATGGAAAACGGAATGGAAGACGAAACGGTCGGTTTTCTTGCGCTCGGTGAAAGACGCGCGCGCCTAGATTATCGGTTAATGAGTCGGCTCGGTAAGTTCTGCCGCCCCTATCCGCGAAGACGGATTGCCTGGCCCCGTGCTTTCGGTTTCTACGCAAAGGCGAACGCGAACGGAATCGTGCTAGCCGCATGCCACATGCCGTACACGTGTTCCCCGAGTACCGAGCTTCGAGCTCCGAACGACGCGATTGCTCGGGACGGGGACGGATGCGAGAACATTGTTTCCGGGCCGAGAGACTCCGGGAGGTCCTTTTGTTTCGAGGACTGTAAGCCGATTTCGAGCGGGCATCGTTGTAAACATTCGACGTCGAGACCGTCGTTTCCGCGCGCGTTATGTTTACCGTCGTCGCAGGTAAACCGTACCAAGTTGTTTTCCAAGGATGGCCATCTCTCTCGGCGAGGACAGGCACGTCGCGCGAGACAACGAATTTCAACTTCAACGGGCAGATAACTCCGAAGCGGCATTTCGAACGCGTCCGTCGCTCGCTGGCCGGTCTCGTTATCCGATAATTTCGCGATGGTTACGACGCGTTTCGCGCGCGTTTATGGCATAGCGTGCGTACAGTTTATATCGATTACGTCGCGATTGAATTACGTACGTCCGCACGAAGATCGTTGGATTAGCCGTTTGCTGCGTAAATTACGGTTTACGATACGCTCGGCATGCATGCTCGTGTATCAATTTGCGAAGCCGACGCGCCGCGTCTCGACGGTTTTAGCGAGTCTTCGTCGTACTTCTTTCGGAGATATTTTCGAGTCGGTCGGAACGTTTCCGGGCGGGCAAAAGCGATCGAAATTTCGAGGAAAGAAGAGAGAGTATAGTTTTAAGAAAACTCGACGAGCTTCGGGCGGAAGCGAATTTATCGGCGACGAAAAGCCATTCGCCGAAGGGTGACATTTTCTTTGCGACAGCCTCGCTTGTCGCACGATATACCGGCGCACGGTTGAACGATATCTTTCATTTTCGAAACCAGCAACGATTAAATTACACAGTCTAATTGCACGAAGACGGCGATAACCTCCGAAATGCGTTCGTGGAACGAGCGCGGCACACATTCGCCGGATAATGCCGTCTAGAATTTCATTTAACGCTTAAGAAGGAAGGAGTTGAGTTACATTTTGATACGACTCGTAAAGGGTCTTTCGAACATCAACGGAGCCAGCGCGCGTCGTTCGTCACGTTCTCATTATTTGTATAATCGGAACGTTCGCGAACTCGAACGAACCGCCCACACGCCGCCTTCGAACCGGCGATCTTTTCGTCGATGCTTTTCAACCGATGATCGATATCCGTTTATATTCTTATCGATTTCTCGGCCACGAGGCTACGAGGCTACGAGGCTGGCTCGCGTTTGCAAGCTGCAGTTTTATCGCGACAATAAAAACTTTCATTCATCATAATCGGAACGTCGCTCGGAGCTCGTGGCTTTTCCATCGTTCGGGAACGAGGTGTCGAGCTGCGGCATCGATTCCATCGATTCGATATAACCAGCGCGCTTTTTTGGACACCCGACTAATTGTCGGTAGCACGCGAACGGGCACGGGGGAGCGCTGAATTATGCATTATCATGCGGTATGCGCTCGAACTTGTTCAAAATTTTCATCGGCGGCCAAAGGTCACTTTCGTCGAAGAGACGCGACGCGACGCTTGACATTGATGCCTCCGCTTCTCCACACCCTTCTACTTTGTTGTCCGCGGACTATACACTGATTATACCTCATGGAAAAACGGTATTAAAGTGCTGGATACGGTCTTCAAAGTATACCTTCCGTAAAGCCACGTGAGCCTTTTAGAATGCTAATTCGTCGCGTCTTGTTAGAAATTATGCACCGACCTTCCCGATTCGATGGTCGAGTTAAGACATCTTATCGTTTTCATTCGCTCGCGTAAGCTCGACCCGAGAAATTAAGCGCGCGCTCGCTAGATTATTGTATCGCTTTGGATAGCGGGGAAGCTCCGCGCTCGTGTACGCGCGATAGCCGATGTGTCGTAGAGATAGCATCGCATAATAGGAGGAAGACGCGGTGACACGTTTCAGCGAGGCAGAAAGATTGGCACGAGACAAACAGGAACTCGACGAAGAACCGACAATGTCCGCGATGGTCGTAAAATATTTGGCTACGGCTCGAAGAGATTGACAATCTACTTAACGTAGGAACACGTGTTCCTATACGAATCCAATCAAAATATTAGACGTTGTTTCGACGTTTCGAACGACGACGGTATCGCCATTACCGGCGTCGATTGCTGAAATATGCAGAACCGTGGGCAACGGTGACTCGTCGTTGAGCATTTTCTTTCCGGGGTCTAATGCAATATTTATCCTAAAAATGGCATCCGAAACGGCGCAACAAACCAACCCCACCTATGTGTACATATATGTATGTATCGTGTCTGGCGAGGCGAGGCGAGGCGAGGCGAGGCGAGGCGAGGCGAGGCGACGCCGCGACCGATTGACGTTGGTATGCGCTTGTGTACTTTTATTTTTATACGCGACCATTCATGATTGCACGTGCCCGTGACCCGTGACCGTCCTGCGTTCAACATTAATTCGTCGCGGATCGCATTACATACATACTTATGTACTCGCGCTCGCGTACACGGCGGTTGTTCAATGTTCAACGATTATAGTTCACCGGACCGACGGCGTAAACTTCTCGCAGCCGCGGCATCGACGCGAAAACAAGTAAACATCGCATAAATGCAAAGTTTGTTCTCCGATAGATCGCTTCAGATTAGATCGATCCTTTCCCGTTTACTTTGGAACGGGAATCCGAAAAACCTATGGGAAACGCAAACGTCGCTTCTCGCTTAATTTACTTTTAAAGGAATCGACCTGTTCGCAGAAGAGGCGCGGTTTTTTATCTAGCCTCGCTTCTGTTCAACCCGTCGCTGCAACCGACAAATCTGTTCGAAAACCACGGTATCTAATAGCCGTTGGCGGAAGCAGGGTTAACGATCTCGACGAGAGATCCGGCGATCCGAGTCTCGACGCGCGATAATCCGAATCGCGTAGAGCTTCGTAATCGCGCGACTTTGTTCCGATGAAAACGAACATCGTGTTCGAAAGGGACGCGCGAGCCACGGAATAGAAATTCAACGTCGCGTCGAAATCGTTGCTCCACGGAGGAGAATATTTTGGAGCACCGTCAACGATCGAGACAGCGTTCTGGGAATGAAACGTAATCGCGGAAATTTCCCACGATTCGAGCCAGATCTCCGCGTA